CTCACTAGTCATCAAGGAGATGCAAATTAAAACTACACTGAGATACCACCTAACTCCAGTCAGAATGGCCATCATCAGTAAACTCAGAAAATAACAGATGCTGGAGAGGATGTGGCGGAAAGGGAACATTTCCACACCAGATTGTTAACTGTGGTTACTTCTGAAGAGGGGACTAAATTTTGATGGAATATTGTAAAGGAAGAATTACAATTTCCCTGTATTTTTAGGATTTTTTAAAAAGAATATATGCACTAGTCCCCTTTTAAATTAAATACTTAAATACCACTAAGTGCGGTAACAGTAGTTGTACATCAGTCAGCGAAAGTAACTGGTAGTTGATGCAACAGACAAAACCTGAAATTTGTGGGGTTTAAGGCAACAGAAGTTTACTTTGTGTGCTCAACAGTTCTGATGTTCTTTGGCAGGAGCTCTCTGCTTTTAGAGGACCGAGTTTTCCAGGCTGCTTCCATTTGGAGTTTTACTATGTCAACGGAGTGTTACCAGGTTTGCTGCTGAATGGAAGAGAGAGCATAGGAATGGCATGCTGGCTACAGCTCTAAGAAATGGTGTTTTTCTTCATGTCTCAGTGATAAAGGCTTGTCACATGGTCATTGCTAACTATATGCGTCTGACACTGTGGTGACCTCATGTGTTCAATAAAGACAAAAAGGCGGTTCCATAAGAGCAAATGTAGTCAATTCCATGAACTGTTACATAGTAGGTGCTCAACAAAAAGCAACTATTTTTTGGTGTGTGCGTGTTGGAGTCTCACTCCATCACCCAGACTGAGTGCAGAGGCACGTTTCTGGTCACCACAGCCTCGACCTGCTGGGCTTAAGCCATCCTTCACCTCAGGCTTCCAAGTAGCTGGAACTACAGGCATGCGCCACCACACCCAGCAAAATTTTATGATTATTATTCTTTATTGTTTTTTTTTTCTTGAGTTGGACTCTCACTCCATCACCCAGGCTCATGGCCACCTCAGTGTCGACCTGCTGGGCTCCAGCTATCCTTCTGCCTCAGCCTTCCAAGTAGCTGGAACTACAGGTGCATGCTACCATGCCTGGCTAATTTTTGATTTATTGTAGAGACAAGGTCTCACCAAGTTGCCTGGGTTGGTCTCAAACCCACAGGCTCAGGCAATCCACTCACTTTGGCCTCCCAAAATACTAGGCGTGAGCCACCGCACCCAGCCCAAAAAGCAACTATTGTGATTTGTTATGACAGTAAGTCTTCATTTCTTGGAGGTCAGGTTTAAGAAGATCAGATTTTCCTTGAAATTCTCTGAATGTTTAAGTGCTTACTATGTAACTGATGCTTTCAAACGCATTGACCCAACTAATGTGAAGAGGATCATGTAAATGTCAACAGGAAAGATTTACCTTCTTCACTTTTCCGCACTTCCCTTTTCAATACCATCTATCATCTCAGTAGTCTGAGGAGTTTCTCCTTCCATTTGATGCAGGGGAAAAATCGTGACTCTGCTGCCCTCCATATGACTATTTCTGCCTAAACACCTGTACAGTGGAAACACCTGGTACAGGGAAAAGCCAGTATTTTCCTGTGGGATGGGCGCCAGACAGGAGGCAAAAGATGGCTAGTTAATTTCTTTTTCTTTCTTATTTATTTATTTTTTTGAGTGGCTTTTTATCTTGTAGCTTTCTCTTTTTTTCTTTTTTTAAAAATTTTATTTTAAAGATATGGGGTACAATTCAGGGTTAGGTATACAAATGTTCATTATGCAGGTACCCTTGTTGATGAGGTGTGCTCCTCCCTTCCCTGGTAGTTTCCCTCAACTGTCAATCCCACCCCCCCTTCCCTGGCAGTTTCCCACTACTGCCAATCCCTTTTTAATAGTATTACGATCCTTGTTCAAGGTCCACTTATAAGCGAGAACATATGGTACTCTGTTCTGAGGAATGCAAATCATTCTACCAAAAGGATACCTGCACACGCATGTTTGTTGTAGCATTATTCACAGTAGCAAAAACATAGAACCACATTTTTTTAAATCTAGTCAAGTTTCAGTGAGCAGCTGCTTGACTAGATTTTTAAAAATGTGGTACATGTACACAACGGAATATTATGCAGCCATAAAGAAGGACAAGCATATGGACTTCACAGCAACTTGGATGAATCTTTTTTGTTTTTAAACTTTAGTTGGCATGTCCATTATGTTTCACCTCCTTGGAATATCCAAGATTGTTAAGAATTGAGCTTCAGTCCATGGGTGTGCCTCACCTACCTCTCGTGAGAGAGTGGAAGTTCTGAACATGTAAAGAAGCCCATTGATCTGTTTGTGTGTCCAGTTCCCAACTTGAGATTAAAACCGAAACACTACCTCATGAAAATACTACTGCAAATATCCCTGTGGATGCAAAAACCCTCTCTCTACCTTCAGGGCTGGATCCCAAGAACCAAGAAATGAAGGGGCCAAGTAGGAATCTGCTCACAAACCATTGGGAAAAAGAGTGTGTCGAGGATTCCCCAGGAGGGATGACCAGGTGTGTAAAGTTACAGCCCAGAGTGAACTCTTCCATGAATGGAGTGTGTTTGTGGGATGGAGCTGAGGGTGAGCAGTGGGAGAGCCAGGGGGCTTCTGCAGGGGCTAGGAATGCTCCCTGTCACAGGGAGAAGGATTCTGTGAAGCAGGGGGAGCGAGCAGCAGGCCAGGTTCCAGAGTCAGAAGGGAGGGCACAGGGGGAGACCAGGGAAAGGGCACTGTGATGCAGAAAGTGCTGGAGCCAGACAGAAAGGCTGGCATTGTACTTGTCCCCTGTACCCAGGAGGAGAGGAATGCAAGGTGTGGGTGGGCACTTGCCTCTCCCATGACATGTTACACAGTAGGTAACAACTCCTGTTACACAGTGGATAACAACTCCTTCCCTCCCTTCCACCTGCTTTTCCAATCATACCCATTTTCATTCACTTCGCCCCAACCACAAATTCATCCTTTGCTTACAATTGGTCAAATTCCACTAAAAGTGAACCAACTGAAATTCCTTTTTAATAGAGTCAGTTCTTACTCTCCTAGCCAGGAAGAAAAGTACTTGGTCAGTGGCTTCTGGACCTCACGTCACAAGAGGCTCATCCTTATCTCAGTAAACCCTTACAGATGAGGGGTACGACCCACCTAGTTCTTGTGCTCTGTTCAACCACACTGGGACAAGAGCACAGGAAACCTTCCACTCCTGTCACCAGTGGGAATGCCTCTCTTCTTCATCCACCATCCAAAAGGAACTGCTCAGAGCTGTTTTCCATCCCAGACTTTTCTCTCACCCCTAAGACCTGCCACCTGAGGGTCTGGTTCCTGCCACCACCCGGCCTCATTACAACCAGCTCCACAGAAGGTACTGAGGTTTCCAGAAGCCCCAAATGACCCTGGCTCAATATATTTATACTCTGGTGTTGTCAACTGGAGCCCCACACCCTCATGCAGACGTTCAATGAGTGCTAGGGGAAGAAATGAGCCAGGAAGCAGGGGGATTTTTTTAGTCAGATTTAATTTCTCTTATATTCTCAAATGAGCCAAGAAAATCCAATTATACATACACATATTTTAATTCTATGGAGCAAAAGATAAGAAAGAATAAAAAGTTGAGAATTAACTATGTTTTCCTTTTATGTCTTTATTTCATGACTCCCTCAATTTTACCACTAACCTATTTCAATTTTGAAGGAAATAACCACTTCAATGCCATTGTATTTTGTTCCAAATCACAGAAACACATGGAAATTTCCCGCTATGTTTTACAAAATAACAAAATCCTGCATTTGAAATAGATAGGCAAAAATACACGTGCCATCAATATCACCCATACACTTAGACATTGAAGTTTATTAAATTATGCTAAAATGAACAATACTTGAAAATTACCAAAAAGAAACAAAGATATGTCCCCATAGAGCAGAAGCCAAAAGACGGTAGATACTGTGCTCTCCTCAACCCCCCATGGGCCCCCACTACTTCGAATGCTGACTGTTTCCTTCAAACACAGGGTGGAGAATGGACCCATCACTTGGGGCAGGAGAAGCTGCTGGAGGTAGCCCTGGGATGTGTCCTGGCCCTGTCCCCGCCACTGGCCCTGGCTGCAACTCCTGCTCAGACTCCCTCTCCCTCATCTCTCTAAGAGCCTCCTCATACAGAGATGGGTAGGAAGTGAGATCTCTCCCATTGATCTTAGCCACATGCTCCAGGACCTTCATTTTGCTGGTTTCAGCATGGGCCCTGGGACCCCACAGGAACTCGTAGCGTGCAGGATCACTGCCGGGCACCTGCCTGAACTCCAGGTAGGCTTCCTGCACCCAATCTTGGGTGAGGAGCTTCCTGGCCTCCCCAAAGATGAAGTGGTTCTTCCCCACATACACCCCCATCACACTCAGTGCTTCCCAGATGACCTCCTCAGGGGCATGGTTGCCCTCCATGAAGATCATGCCCAAGACCATTATCAGGAGGCCAACTTTGGGCTTGCTCTGGTCATTCCCCAGCATGCCATCGTAGGAGAGGCCCACGGAGTTGACGAGTACATAGGAGTGGTTGGTGGGGTCTATTTCCTTCAAGTCAATGCCAAACACTAGCCGCATGCACTCGGAGGCTTTGCTGAAGATGGCTGGGAAGTACTCCTCGTCATTCTTGATGACAGCACTCAGCATCTCTGCCTTTGTGATCGGCTCCTTTTTTTGATACTTATGGAGCAGGAAATGAACCAAATGAGCCATCTTCCCATCTAGGGCCTCTTGGAGCAAGGACTCAGCGTCAACTGGGTCAGGCGAGGTGCTTGGCCACTCCTCTTCTTGGCTGCTCAAGCCCTCATCAAATTGGTTCCCTTGAGTGGAGGTGATGGAATTTTGGGGAGAGGAAGCTCCCTGAGGACTCTGGGAAGGATGCGGTGACCCAGCAGCAGGCACCTCCTCTGGGATACTCTGAATCGGAGTAGAAGAGGAGGAGGAAAATGAGGAGGCAGCCTCCTCCTTCTCATCTGCAGGACATTGTGCACCCACCAGGCCTGGTGCCCCTATTTGGGACTGAAGGCCTTCCTCAAGCTCGTGATGCTGGCTGCTCTGCTTATGAGGCATAGCGATTTTGGTCAGGGTAACAGGCAGGAATGTGGGCAGGAGGTGGGTGATGGGAACTCACGGGCCTGGGGAGAGAGGGAGAGAGTGAGTGATCTCAGTTTAGATTCACACCCCAGAGGCTCTAACAAAGGCTGATTTAAAAGTCATCTCCTTATGTGCTACAATCTACAAACTTACCTGTGACTTAAGGAGACATCTCACTTCACTGCCAAGGTCTTACAAACTAACCCTAAGGTTCAAGACTCATGGAATTTACTCAAGAATGCTGTGGTAGTCTCATAACTTTAAAATGATTCTACTCCTTGTCAGCATTTTCTTCTACTTAGTGGGGGAGATGAAGGAATTCATCCCTTATAAGAAGTATATAATGGGAAAAATCTTCTTAGCTAAAGGTTCTTAGAAAAAAGAGTTATGGAGAAAGAACTTTTTTCACTAAAGCAAGTTAATTCTTTAAATGTTTGCTAAGTGTCTCAAGGCATTGACTAGCATTCTTAGAAAAAGACTTTTAAGCATAGAAAAACCGAGGTCAAAATTGCATAGCCCTTATCTTTCCCCCTTTAAATATAAGGCAAGTAGAGGCTGTCAAACAGTGCAAGGGAATCTCTCCATTTTCTCTAACTTCAGAATGGAATAGGGCTCCACTGCTCAAGCTCACACACACCAGGTCTGAAAGCACACGGGCATTAAATACCTCAGATGTGGTCTGTTTGAAGTGATGTTCTCGCTTTCAGCGTGATCAGCCAAAGACAGCCACCCTAGACGTAGAGATTCATCAAATGACACGAACTTGATGATGCCAAGAAGACTCTCTACAGCTTGAGAAGCCCGTTCTGAACAAATGTCTCTGAGGTATGGATGGAAGTTCACGAGTTTGAGAAGATAACATGTCGCAATTTCTACTTGGTTCTCTGTTGAGATGTTTCTTTCTGCGGAGAGATTAGAAGTGAAGTACTGGGAGAACAGGCTGGAAAATGAATCTGAGACATCCTGTTGGAGTACATTTTGTCCCCACAAAGCTATGTTGTTTGTAATCACAGTTCAGCAAATTCTTTTTGATAGAATTCTTTTATTGCCTCTGTCTTTAAGAGATTGAACTTCTCCAGGTAGAAGTCTATGGATAATCCCAGCATTAGACTATATCTGTGATTATAAATGAATACCACAAGTTACCAGAGTGCCAGAATGTGATAGGACATACAGGCGACTCTGTCTCCAAGCTGGACAAGAAGCCCAACACAAGTGGACTGGGAAAGAGTCCAAGTCATTCTAAAAAATTGCATGAAGGAATCTGTTATGAACTGAAAGTCTATGTAACCACAACATTTACATGTTGAAATCCTAATCTCCAGTGTGATGAGATTAGGAGGCAAGGCTTTGGGAGGTGATTACATCATGAGGAACTATAGATCTATGGAGGATGAATTAAATTTTTCTCTCATGAATAAGATTAATATCTTTATAAGATTATTCTCTAGTGAATTAGTGTCTTTATTAAAAGAGGCCAGAGTGCTAGTTCTTTCTCTTCCTGCCAAGCGAGTACATAACAAGAAGATGAGTATCTGTAATCCCAAAGATGGACCTCACCAGAACATGGCTATACTGGCACGCTGATTTCAGACATGAAGGCTCCAAAACTGTGAGAAATAAACAACCAGGTTATGGTACTTTGTTGTAGTATACTAAACTGGCTTAGGCAGAACCCAGGAATTGAGTCCTATCTGAGAGCCAGAGAAGACCTCTAGAGGTCACTTGTAGCCTTTTGCAGAGAGTAAAGGTGTTACGTTAATTTTCTGTACATCTGATATTAAGAGGGTATCACTTGATAAACTCAGGTGAAAATAAATCATGTGAAGTAAACTACACATGCTGTACAGTCTCAATGACATGATTCCATAACTTGTTAAGATCCTATGGCTTTATTGTGCACACAAATGCGGTAAGTATAAATTAGTTCTGAGTTCATGTGAAAGCGTTATACAGTCCTTCGTGCTTATGTTATTTCTTCTTCCCCGTCCTGCTGAGCAACTGCTTAGGTGACTAGGTAACCCACTGTAGCTCTTGTCCAGAATCACAGGCGACTTTGACCTTTCAGAAGAGAATCCCATCCATTTAAAAGCCCCCAAAGAAGCCCTGGAGTGATGGACTGGCACTTGCTTTCTCCTGGGAGTTTCCATGTTTGAGAGAAGGGGTCTGGATTACACCAGGCCCATTCTCAGAGCTCACTAGATACTCCAACAGGAGGCTGCAAGTTTCCCAGATCAGAAGCTAGGCAAAACGAAATGCACAGCATAGCTCTGGTTCTCTGAAGTCTTCATAGGGCTTCCTTCCTCAGCCACAGGAACTCAGAAGTCCCAAACCGTGCAGAACTCAGGGTGTGAGTTGGAAGACAAGTACAAGGGAATGCTATCCCATCTCTGAAAGAGCTCTGCATGCAGAAGCTAACAAGACCACGTGCATGGGACATTGCAAAGCAGATTACTGCATTGAAGTATGTGAAACCAGTGATGTTGGGATGATTTTAGAGGTGAGAAAATTTGTGCACAAAGCAGCGAGCACTGCCCAGGGTCATGCAGCTGGTGAGTAGCAGAGATAAGTTGCAAACACTCCCTTTCATGGCAATATAGGAGACAGTTCTGTTTTTCTGTGGCCTTATCACTCTTTCTGGAGAGGCTCCAGCATGCAGACCTTGCAGAAAACACAAAGTAATCATCTCTTTAAAACTTTCTGCACAGTTCTGGAATATAGAGTCAAGGGTGTCTTTATCACTGTAGCAGAAAGCATGATAACCAGTACAGTCAAGTATCTTCTCAAGGGACTTCCTCTTCCCTGATGAATTCCTCAGCATGGGCTCTCTATCTCCAAAGAGGAACATTGTTCCTATGACTTATTGCCAGTGCCTATGTCAGAGTCCTTGAAAATCAGGCAGATGACTATTTGTGTTTCACTAGAACAAGTAACCTATCAAGAAGAAATGACTTTGATATAGCTGCTTATGCAAATAAATTTACTGCATGATAACACTTATTAGCAGCATAAAACTTTTGCTCATCCAGTTGGAGCTACAGGTAGTTGGAAGAGAAGATTAATTTCCATTTTAATTAATTAATTAGTTAATTAATTAGAGTTGAAGTCTTCCTCTGTTGCCCAAGATGGTGTGCAGTGTTATAGTCATGGCTCATTGTAAACTTGTCCTCCTGGACTCAGGCAATTCTTCTGCCTCAGACTCCCAAGTAGCTGGGACTACAGGCATGTGCCAACACACCTGGCTAATTCTTTGATTTTCTGCAGAGACGAAGTCTCATGTTGCCTAGGCTGGTCTCAAGCAACCCTCCTGCCTCAGCCTCCCAAAGTGCTGGGATTGCAGGCATAAGCCACTGTGCCGGGCCTTAATTTCTATTTTAATTAGAGATTTGCATTTTCGGCAGCTTGGCCTCCAGCAGTGAACAGTGTAGTGTCCAGTGATCGATTCCAGTTCCTTCCAAACATGGTGGCCTCTGAAAGGGCACTGGAGACATCTGCCCCTAAAGGGGCGTCCCAGCCAGCATAAAGATGACTGATCGGAAAAGAAATGACTGTATGAGAAATGCCCTTCATGTAGCTCACTGGTCCTTCATCGGGCTGGTTCCTTCATAGTGCTGCCTGCCCACTGCCAATCTTCAGTGGGTGGGAGTCCCCCTGAGTTCTAAGCTGTCCTGGGTTGGATGGAAGGGCAGAAGTGAAGCCATGATGGAGGAGGCTGCAGTGACAGGGTCCCTGATCCCACCCCACAGCTAGGAAGGCATTTATTTCTAATGATTTGGACGTAGGCTGAGAGGCCTGGCCTGGCATCACCCTTAGGGGCTCTGTGTGGCAGCCTTGGGCCCTTGCTCACTGAGGTGCACTGGGCTGGCCCCACCCAGATATGGCAAGTGATTCCAGTGCCTTCTGGGGCTTTGAATCCTGGTTTAGAGTGTGTGGAACATTGGCCTGCTCTACCTGTACACATGTGAAAGAGAACCACAGCTTCTGTATTTCATGTGTATATCTGTGTCATGTGTTTCTGTGTGTTTTCTGTAGCCTTGGGTATGATGGGAAAGGACGATGGACCTCGATTTTAAGAGTGTGTGTGGTGTTTGTGTGTGTGTTTATGTGCATGTGGTGTGTGTGGTTTGTATAGATTTGATTCTACAGCAATGGAGAGGACTAAAGATGTTAAACAGGTAAAGTCAAGATCAGATGCAGAGAAAAAATTAAATAACAAAAGAATTCCTGCTCCCCTGCATGCAGGGGAGATGTGAGCAAGCCAGTTCCCAAACCTGGAGAAGTT